TAGCACCTTGGAAGAACTGAAAATTTACAGGTCCCTAGAAGTATCTCTGAACACAGCTGCACAAAACCCCTGAAGCTTGGGACAGTACATTCTCCACACTGGAAACAGACGCCTACCTTAACAAAGAGTCTATAACTCAAGTAATTTGCTGAGATCATGAGCAAGCAGTGCAAAAAGAGTCAGACTATATTATCTTACTTTGATGACAAAGAAGATCAAAACACACAACCAGAAGAAGACAACGAAGTCAAAGCTCCTACATCCAAAGCCTCCAAGAAAAATATGAATTGGTCCCAGGCCATGGAAGAGCTCAAAAAGGATTTTGAGAAGCAAGGAAGAGAAGCAGAGGCAAAACGGAGAGTGATGCTAAAGGAAACGCAAAAAAATACTGAAGAAAATAACACCTTAAAAAATAGCCTAACCCAAATGGCAAAAAAAGTCCAAAAAGCCAATGAGGAGAAGAATGCCCCAAAAAGCAAAACTAGCTAAATGGAAAAGGAAGTCCAAAAACTTACTGAAGAAAATACTTCCTTAAAAATTAGAATAGAGAAATTGGAAACTAGGGACAATTTGAGAAATCAAGGTACTGTAACACTAATCAAAAGGAATGAAAAAATTAGAGAGAATGTGAAATATCTCATTGGAAAAATAACTGACTTGGAAAATAGATCCAGGAGAGAGAACTTAAAAATTATTGGACTATCTGAAAGCCATGATCAAAAAAAGAGCCTAGACACCATCTTTCAAGAAATTATCAAGGAAAACTGCCCTGATATTTTAGAACCAGAGGCCAAAATAGAAATTGAAAGAATCCACCAATCACCTCCTGAAAGAGATCCTCAAAGGAAAACTCCTAGGAATATTGTAACCAAATTCCAGAATTCCCAGGTCAAGGAGAAGATATTGCAAGCAGCCAGAAGGAAACAATTCAAGTACTGTGGAAACATAATCAGGATAACACAAGATTTAGCAGCTTCTACATTAAGGGTCCAGAGGGCATGGAGTACGATATTCCAGAGGGCAAAGGAGATAGGACTACAACCTAGAATCACCTACCCAGCAAAACTGAGTATGATCCTTCAGGATAAAACAATGGTCATTCAATGAAAAAGGGGACTTTCAAGCATTCCTGTGGAAAAGACCAGAGAGGAATATAAAATCTGACCTTCAAATACAAGACTCAAGTGAAACATGGAAGAGGTAAACAGGAAAGAGAAATCATAAGAGACTTATTAAGGTTGAATTGTTTACATTCCTGCAGGGAAAGATGATATTTGTAACCCATGAGTCCTTTGTCAGTATTAGGGTAGTGGGAGGGAAAAAATTATATGTATGTATAGATAGATACAGTGAGAGAGAGCACAGGGTGAGTTGAAGATGAAGGGATGATATCTGGAAAATAAAATTAAGGGGTGAGAGAGGGTTATACAGTGAGAAGGAGAAAGGGAGAAGTAGAATGAGGTAAAATATCTCATATGAAACAGAGAAGAAAAGGCTTTTGTAGTGGAGGGGAAATGGGGGAAGGTGAGAGGGAATGAGTGAATCTCATTCTCATAGGATTTGGCTTAAGGAGGGAATAACATACACAATGGGGTATGGAAATCTATCTTATCCTACAAGAAAATAAGGGGAGAAGGGGACAAGAGAGCAGGGGGTTGATAGAGGGGAGGGCAGATTGGGGGAGGGGATAATCAGAAGCAAACACTTCTGAGGAGGAACAGGGTCAAAAGAGAGAGTAGAATAAATGGGGGGTAGGATAGGATGAAGGGACATATACTTAGTTTTTCACAACAGGACTACTATGGAAGTGTTTTGCATGACTACACATCTACAACCTGTATCGAGATGCTTGCCTTTTCAATAAGGGTGGGTGTGGAGGGAGGAAGGGAGAAAATTTGTAACCCAAAGCTTTAAAAACACATGTTAAAAATAAAAATAAAAAATAAAAAATAAAGATTAAAAAAAAAGGAGGTGCCATTAAAAAAAAAATCTGCTCACTATACTCTGCATCAAGTCATGTAAATCTTTCCAGGTTTTTGTAAAGGCATCCTGCTGGTCATTTCTTATAGTACAATAATATTCCACCTCAATCATACACCACAACTTGTTCAACTATTTCCAAAATGATAGGCATCCCTTCAACTACTAATTTTTTGCTTCCACAAAAAAGCTGCTATAAATAATTTTGTATGTCTTTTTGCCTTTTTTTAATCCCTTTGGTATACAGACCTAGTCGTGAGGGATTGTTTGATGTTGGCTACATGCCACGTGGGGGTTGTGGCAAGATGGGGCAGGGACAAGATATTAGGAAGTAACCAGAGCTTACGCTCCCAAGGCAGGGGGCTGTGCCATGTGGAGTTGTGGTGAACTGGGGTAGGAACAGGATACGGGGAAGTAGCCGGAGCATGTGCTCCTGAGGCAGGGGGCTGTGCCACATGGGAGTGGGATGGCAGAGAACGAGCTCCCTTTGTCTAGTCCTCTCCCTAGGTGCAGCGCTAACCCCAGACGTCTCCTTCCGGTATCCGGGCCTAGCTCCCTTTGTCACGTCCTCTCCCTTGGTGCAGCACTAACCCCAGATGTCTCCTTCCGGTATCTGGGCCTAGCCTCCTGTGTCACGTCCTCTCCCTAGGTGCAGCGCTAACCCCAGACATCCCCTTCCGGTATCTGATCCTACAATCATTCACTGGTAGGCAGGCTGAGGAGGAGGGGCTAGGAAGGTATATAAGGGCGGTAGGGGTCAGAGCTCGCTCTCTCTTGCTCTTGCTCCTGCTCTTGCTTTCCTGCTTGGCCTTGCTGTGATGGCCTCTGAATAAAGTTCAAGTGTTTGCACCTCCCGATCAGCTTGTCTCTATGTTTATCTGGGTGGGCTCCGAAGACTGGTAAGTATGATCCTGGCAGCCTGCTCCTGTTAGGAGGAGAGTGCACGGTGCGACTGGCACACCTAGTAGTTGTTCTACCAGGTCAAAGGTTTATGGCCCTTTGGACACAGTTCCAAATTGATCTCCAGAATGACTGGATCAGCTTGCAATTCTACCAAAAGTGCATTAGTGTCCCAATTTTCCCACATTGTTCCCAAATTTGTTTTCAATGTAAAAATGATTCTTGCTATCATTACTTTAAAAACCTGTGACACATGTATTTTTCTTCAGTTACAGTATATCCAAACTTTTTATAGAAACTAACATTTTGTGGAAGACATTCAAGGGTAATTTTGTTAATAGTTCAGTTTTTTACTTAGCAGAGTAAGAGTCAACAATAACAGTTTTCCCAGTTGTTTTCCTCTTTATTCATCACTCACAACATATTCTACTCTTCCTCTCTTTGCACATGAATGGATGAATTTATCTTCTCAGTTATGTTATGTTATCATATGAAGTTACATTATCAGAGTAGCCATAGCAACAATCTGCCTTATAGTGACATCTTCTACAACTGTAACATAATAATCTCCTGATTTCCTCATATGCTCAAATGATCTCATAAATTGCTCAGGGCTGACCATTCAAGTTTCTGTCAGCTGACCAAGTACCTTAAAAAATCCTCTGTTTAGATCTGCAGTACAAAGAGGCCTCAATACCAAGCCATCTCCTGGGTATGTTGGGAAAATGGCTGGAGAAAATGCTGTAGTATTCTGGCTCTAGTACACCTCTTTCAATAGACTTGGGTCAAACATAGGTGTTTCATCAGGTTTCATGACTGCAATGAGGATCTTCTCACACTACCTTTTAAAGCCTCTGTGTCTCTTTCTGTCTGAATGCCCCTCAGTCTTTTTTGTTACAGCTTCATCCATATCTCATTAATCAAGGAAGTGTAAGAGGGTTGCCTGGTTGGGAGGTGTCAAATCTGTATCCGGCTTCTGGTTCAGGTTTGGCTTCCCCTCCTCACACTTCTCAAGCATATTAAGTTTTATACTATATCTATTAAAACCCCAAATTCATGCATAACTAAAATATGTGAGCTCAGGCTCGAGAGTACAGATTTTTGGATTCCTCCTTGATAACTTCTTGAAAGATGCCATCCAGGATCTTTTTTCAATAATGGCTTTCACTTAATCCAATAATTCTTAAATTATCTCTTAGTCTTAATATAATCTCAAAGAATTGCTTTGAATGCTGAGAGGTCATGGTGATCACTTCCCCAACAGACACACAAACATACATAAACACATGTATATGTGTGTGTGTGTGTGTGTGTGTGTGTGTGTATACTTACAAATGCATTATTCATAAATGCCCTGAGTTAGACATCAATCAATACATTAAAGAGCATTTTACTTGCCTACTCTATGACAGGTATCATACTATGTTCTAAGGAAAAAATACAAAGAATGAAATAATGTATTCTAAAGGAGCATATAATCTATGGTGGAGACAAGTCCATATATAAGTACACAAAGAATAAATTTAAAGTGAATAAATACAAATAAATACAAGTCAGTGAAGGAATGAGGACAGGAGGTGGCACAGTGGATAGAGTGCAAGGACTAAGGTCAGGAAGGCCTGAGTTCAAATCCAGCCTTAGACACTAGTTAAGTGACCATGCACAAGTCACTTAACCTTGTTTGCCTCAGTTTCCTCATCTGTAAAACAAATTGAAGAAGAAAATAGCAAACCACTACAATATCTTTGCCAAGAAAACCCCAAATGGGGTTATAAACCATTGGATACAACTGAAATGACTGAACAACATGTATGTGTATATACATACATGATGGTAATATGTTCAGATTAAAGCAGAACCAAAAGAATATGACTCTTGTTATAAAAAGAAAAAGTATATATAAATACAGAACAAATAATAAGCTTTTATGGCTATAATAACAGTAAAAATTATTTTCAAATCAAGTTAACAAGCATTCATAAAGCACCTACTATGTGCCAGGCATTGTGCTAAATGCAACTGTAAATGTATGATGAATTAATTTTGTTATTATTTAAGTATATATACATTTTTTCAAATAATCCCTGTCAATAATAAGTCAACAAGCTTATAACTTTTACCTTATATTCCTCTGTAATAATGCTCAGAGTCTCATGCCCAGCTTTCCTCATATCTTCCAACTGTTGCTTATGTTTTTCCTGAAAGAAAAGGATATGAGTTTAAGTTTTGGCTTCTTTTTCTTTTCTTTTTGGTTTCTTTTGAGATTACCACTATTAAATTAAATTATTAGAATGCCAGACCTAGAGTCAGGACACTCCTCTTCCAGAGTTCAAATCCAGCCTCAGACCCTTACTAGCTGTGTGACCCTAGGATGTCACTTAACCCTGTTTACCTCAGCTTCCTTTTCTGTAAAATGAGCTGGATAAGAAAAAGGTAAATTACACCAGTGTCTTTGCCAAGAATACTCCAAAAGGGGTACAAAGAGTTGGATACAACTGAAAACAACTGAACTGCTGTTCAAAACAAATCAGATACATCTGACACTATAGTCTTTAACAAATCATTGAATTGGTTAAATGCATGTTTTTACTTCTAGAACTTAAAAGCCAGAAAATTTTGAAGGAAGGTTATTTAACAAAATGTGAAATCAACAGAACATTAAAATTTCAAATGGGGCCTTCCAACCCATGGTGGTATCTAACTTTCTCTACAGCTAAAGGATGTGATTTTTAACCAGTATGTGATTGAAAACAAACAAAAACAAAAACAAACAGAAGAACCTCATATCAAGTTTCCTAAGCAATTTAATCAGAATCTACCTTGCGGGCTAGTTAACAGACTTCGGGAAAGCAGAATCATCAATAACAAGATCCTAGAACACACCAAAGTAGAAGCAATAGTACCTGTTATATAATTCTCAGGAGAGGCACATGATAAACTGTAAAAAACAATGCAAGAAACTATCATTTAGTAGCAGGACCTTGCAACATTTCTCAACCTACAGGAGATTGCTACCCTACCTTCCAGTTACCATGCAGATTTGCTTCCTCTAAAATTATAGCTCCAAATAACCCACCAATGTGTTTACTTTCAAGGCAAAGACATTTAACAGAAATTTATATATAGCAAAAAATGAAGTATGTATAGAATGATTTTACATATGTTTACATATTTATGTCTAATGGTAGCCATCTCTAGGGTGTGGCTGGGGGAGAAAGGAAAGAAAAAAAGAAAAAAGTTACATGATAACTACTATCTATCTAAAAGGAATAGCAAGTTGTACATAACAGATTTGCAGATTCATGTGCAATCATCTTTTTAAATCTACTATTTCATGGGAAAGCTTGTTTTATTTCACAAATTAAAAATAAAAATTTTAAAATGTAGCAACATTTCCCCCACAAACTTGAGGCACACTCTCTTACAAATATACCATCAGTAAAAGTATGGGCAGACATATGAAACACATGAGAACAAGGCAAATATGTAGGAAATATCTATGGTCAATGTAGACATGTGGAAATGATGGGGTATGGGCCTAAGCTGAGAACTTTGTCCCTCGCCCCAAAAAAGAATTTGGGTCCCATTTGTCTACAGGCCCCAGAAAATCCTTAAACTTTCTTTGACCTCACTCTGGCCCAAACTGTTACCTGAGGCTATACTCCACTCAATGGCCTTTCCTTATTGACTCTCCCTATCTCCCTTTGGAAACCTACAGAAGCCCTAGTATATTTCCCACCTTTGATCTTATCCAGACCCCATTCAAACCTCTTCCTTCCAGTTCCCTTCATTATCTATTCCCATTGTCTATTCAACCTCCCAAACATTCCCATCAGAATTCTCCCTAAACTCACCCCAGCTTCAAGATTCTTCTCCCAGCCCCTCCTCCAAACACCCAAAATTATTTGAGCGTATATAAGATCCACCCTGGCCCCCATTTAAATGCTGACATTTCCTCATGCCCGCTTGTTTGTACAGGCATCACTAATGTTCAGATTCCATAAGAGTCTGACCTGTATGGCCCATCCCTAATAAAACTCTGTCTCCAGTTGAAAGAAGATTTGGGTTGAATTCTTTTTTTTTTTAAATTGTTTTGGGCAGGACCTGTGTGTTGTGATTTTGGGGTTCCAGCACCTCTAAATCTCTAGACCTCATCAGAAAATCTCAAACATAGAGGACATGTGGCCAGTGTACATGTACAACATTTGCAAGATGACTGATCTAAATGATGTCATTGAACACATTAGATTATTTAGCCATAGTCTCTTTTGAACCAGCTTCTGAATGCTCAGCTGAAATCTTTCACTATCTCTTGCACAAAGAAAGAGAGGGTCTACCCATGCACTTTCAGCTTAAAACAAGATTATTTAATGTTTTTTGTCCCATGGTACCCTTTGGCAGTCTAGTGAATGGAACGTTTCTTAGAATGATGTTTTAAATTGCATAAAGTAAAAAACATAATATTACAAAGAAAACCAAAAATTAGTGAAAATTAAGATGTTATTTTTTTTCTCATCCAAATTCACAGACCCTTCAAAATCTATCTTCAGACTCCTTAGGGTTCCATGAAATCCAGGTTAAGAACTCCTGGATTTAGGTGCCTTTATGCTTTTATTCAGCTCTTTTAGAAAAGTTAGAAAATCTTTAGCCAGAAAACAAAACAAAACAAACAAAAAAAAAAAATTCCCCTAATCTTGTTCCTTTGAAGAAATGGTTTTGTCTACTGAGCACTCTCATCTTCCTAGTAAGAGATTCTAAGACCCAGATAACAAGATTTTTAGAACAAAACTCAGATTCCTACCAGCAAACTAATGACCTTAAGCTTAATCTTTTCTTTGGATTTCCTTGAGTCTCTATCAGATGTCTCACTCTTGAACAGCATTCAATATACTTCCCAAATTTCCGTAGCTGAAAGCTAAATTACAAGAGCTGTTTGACCCATAACTACCAAGTAGTTCTGACGTTCAGGGCTTTCCAGTTTTCAAACTCTAAATGTCTTTTAAGTTCTCTCACATAGATAAGTGAGGGACAAACATAAAGACACAACCCTAATTCCAGGGAGCTGGGTCCTTGCCTCTGCAGACTGTATTTCCATGTACCCTTCATATGCAGATGTGGTTAATCAACATCTAAAAGGGGCTTTAAACTTCTCTGCAAGGTCATCTGAAGTAGGGGTAACTCTAACTCAGAACTGAGATGAAGGAATTAAAAAAATTGATCATTAAAGCACAAATTGTGCTGTAGGGGCTGGCCATTCTTGCAGCAATCAGAAACAATATGGGATATTAAGAAAATATCTTGCAACTTTAGGAGTCTTAGAGGTAGATTCAAAAACTGAGATAGGCTCCCAAGCTACACAACAAAGAGCATTTATTCAACAATATGTATTCAACAGAAGTTTATTAAGGATCTATTATGCTAAGTATAAGGGAGAGATACAAAGTTTAGCTTAGACATCTGAATCCTTCTGAAGTTTATACACTAATGGGAGGAAATGACACCTATATATAGCTGTAAAAATATATTACATGAACACACAATATTATATGTTATACATGGCATTTATGAAAGACTATTAAGTTTTGATCTTTTCAATTTCAAATGCCAACAGGTTGTAGTATTATCCTCAAAAGTGAAAGGAACAAAAACATACAAACAAAGGGCCTGAGCCATATAAGAACAAAAATGTACAGCAAGGAAGGACATCAAACGTCATGTAGTCAAAATGCCTTATCTATCAAAGGTAGTTATGGTTATGTTCTAAATAATTCAACCACAAAATCAGAATTAGATTTATCACCAAGAATTATGCCACCGACACAAACAGATAATGTAATACATTACTATTACTATAATACATTATTACTACTACATGCTAATGTATGGCATATTATGTCACAGTGTCTCAGAGGAGTGAGGGACCTCAAAAGTCACTTAATGAAACCTATACCTAAACAACAATCCCTTCTGCAGACCATTCTGAGTGTTTATAGATCTTCCCTTGAAGACCACAAGTGAAGGAAAACCTTCTAAGGCAGCCCCATCCTCTATCATATCAGCAAACATTAATAGGTCAAGTGCAGCAATTGGAGTCAGAAAAATTTGGATTTAAATTCTGCCTCAGCCACTTACCACCTGTGTGACTTAGAAAAGTCATTTAACATCTTAAGTTTTCTAAACTGTAAAATGAGTAGGTCAGACCCGATGATCTCTAAAATTCCCTTCTAATTTTAGATGTGTGTTTGTGTGTGTGTGTGTGTGTGTGTGTGTGTGTGAGAGAGAGAGAGAGAGAGAGAATATGACAGAGAATCCATATGCTAGGTACTGCTAATTGAAAGAAAAAAAGAAAAAAAAATGAAACAGAACTTGCCCTCAAGAAGCAAGTATTTTCTTTCAGTGGAGAAAGATAATATAACACAGATAAGTAAATACAAAAAATGTGCAAGATAACATAGTAAGTTGGGGAGAGACACCAACAACTAGGAGGATCAAAAGTAGACCTCGTGTGGGAAGAGGCATGTGAACTGAGGCTTGCATAAAACTAGGGATGCTCTGAAGAGAATGGAGTACATGCAGGCATAATAAAAAGGTTCAGAAGTAGAAGAAGGAATGTCACATGCAGCAAACAGCAAATGAGATAGTTGAGTGGGGATGTTATTTCTAGCTATTTCAGGGTTTTTTATTTTTTAGGTCTTTATTATATCTCTTTTCTCAAAGGGGAATTTTTGCTTTAACTAGACCGTGGATAATCCTAGAGAAGTAATGACCCAATTTGGTACTTTCTTTCCCCACTATTTTCTCTAAACTGCAGCTGCTCATTACATTAATACCTAAAACTTGTATTAATATTTGTGGTGTAATGTATTCCAGCAGGACAGGAGAATGTGTAACTACTAAAATATTTAATGCAATATTCATCCACCAATGCTTCAACCTCTTCTAGTAATTGATACTAAAGACTTGTCACTGCTTTGCTTTCCTAATGGCATGTCTTGGGTTTTTGGCATGCAGATGGTTTTTAAAACTACATGACAAAGTAGGTTCACATATCTTAATGTGCCAATCAGAAAACAAAAATAGCAAATTTATTTTAATTAATTATGCACAGGACAATTCAGGGCCCAAAGAAATAAATAATCCCTTTGCTGATGGGGAAATGGAACCTGGACCCCTAAAAAGAATAGACCATGTCTTTGAA